AACAGAGTGACAGTGGGGATGCCTCGGGGGGCCGCTGAAGCAGGATGCTGCTGCCTCCTCTGCAAATTGGAAAAGTGGCACAATGAACTGGACCTGAGGGGGGACCACGGTCTTCCTGCACAGCGGCGTGTGCGTATACAACAATGCACTGGTCAGCCACTCTGACTTGTAACTGCAGAGAGTTAACTCGTTTCCTAATCTGAAGAGAGCAATTACGTTTTATTAAATCTGAAGTGAGCATGAGTGGTTCTGTGGCTATTTTTGCACCACATGTCCTCTCATGGTGCCTCTTGGATTACAAAAGTCACTGCATAAAATGTATCATAGTATTTGTGTTGTTTTAAATTGTGGTATGTAGCTTCATTAGAGGCATACAAATGTAAAGTTGTAATTTCCATTATGTTCCTATAAACAGTGGGAAAATGGCAATGTGGAATGTGGAAGTGGTCATGCAAATATTATCATTGCCCAACTCGTTAGTTCCTCTTAACCCTTTAGCTCATTGTGGTTGCTTTTCTGTTTTTAATGCATTGTTTCTTACATTTTCAAACAGCAAGCAGTTGTCTCTAGCCCAACAAAATGTATTAGACCCACTGCCCACCTTATTTGTCCAGCCCAAAACAACATACTACTAGCTGTTGAACATCGTGTAGCATTTAGCAACCAAACGGCCAGATAATGTTGGCTTGTTAAGCTGCTCTCAAGTGGCAAAAAAACTACCAGAGCTGTTCAAAAATAAATGTAAGGTTGTGACAATTTCCAGTTGAATGAAACAAGCGACCATCTTGCTACGGGATCACAGAACACAAGTTGCAACATCAAACCAGACCAACAAATGGCCTCTTCCTCATTTCCTAGCCCCCTAAATCTTTCCCCCTTGCTCAGATCACATCCATCTTTGGGATTGGCCTTCATTTTGATCTCAAGTTTACCAAAATTGTGATTTCACTTTGCACAGTTGTGACAAAATCTGTCCCAAGACATATTAATACATGGTAAAATACTCAAAACTGCTTCTGTGGTAGTTCCTGCTAAAATAGACCCTTGGCCACATTGGGCCATGAGGACACAAAAACAAACCAGATGAAAACAAAACCAGCGTCCTAGTCATGGCTGGTAATGAGACAAACTTCAGGTACCATTTGCTTTGACCTCCAGGAGTTCAGCATAGAAAGATTTATGTGGACAAGCTTCTTTTCACTCTTTGCTTTAGCTTAAAGGTAAGGTAAAATCCACTTTTTCATGTCTTTTATACATAAACATGTGTCCCCTTTGCGTTAAGAGATTCTGAAAGTTTCAGGAAAAAAGACCCCCTCTCTTTTTGTCCTGATCCATTTATATAAAAACCTGTCTGAAAATGAGCTGATCAGATTTAGGCCACTTTATGATGTCATAATGTTTTTACCATTAGCCAATAACCAACCAAGGTAACACCCCCCCCCCCACACACACACCTTATCACCTGAATCTCCTCCTAGAGCACCATTGTGTTATTTAACCAAATATCTCACAGAGGGGCGTGGGGAGTGGCTCCTTATTTTCGTCTAAAGGCACGGACACACCGGGCCGATTTCGGCCGTTGATAGATGTCTGGCCGTCGATGAGCGTCCTGTCGCCCTACTCAGATTGGTGTGTCCATCACCGTCGTGTCTTTTCGGCCGTCCCGACACCTTCCTGTCGGCAAAAGGCAAAAGGCTGTCGGCAAAAGAAATCACTCTGATTGGTTGTTCAGCTTAGCGAATCAGTGCATGATAAGCGAAACGGAAGTGAAGAAGGCACACACAGATGGCTATTATTTTTTATTTTCCAGTACCGCCCTAAACATGTTTTAGATTATAAGTCGTTATGTGAAACAGTCTGTGAAACAGTCTGTGATAGACGAGAGTGAAAATGGAATGCACGCTATTTGTTGGTTGTATATATCACGCAGTCTGTCTTCCGGTTGCCTCTTTTGAATGATGAATACACACTACCGCCGCTTGCTGGTAAGGAGAGTTATTGCCACTCACGCATGCGCAGTGCGTACGTGCTACTTGGCCGTCGGCTGAAGTCTTTGCGGTGTGTTCCAGTTCCAGTCAACAGTCGGGTCCGTCAGGACGTGTTCTTTGGTGTCAGTTTGGTGTGTTAGGGCCTTAAAGTAACAGACAGAGAATCAGCACTTTTGAAACAGGGCTGAAACAGAGGGGATTATGGGATGCTGCAATGCATGATCTGTTTGGTATTTCAAGCCAAACACTTCAGAGACATGTTTTGTATATATCTGAGACCTATAATATATTGATGAAAAACATTATAATAGGGGACCTTTAATAACTAATAAGTTGATCAGTTATTTACATGCAAGCACTGCTCCTTCTTTTAGTCGAACAACTTTGCATAGCCGCTGTTCCGCTGTCTTACTCGTGACAAAAACAAAACAAAAACCCTCTCTATCAGCCAACTCACAACAGCTTGGCAGAATGCAGTGCCATGCACAGGCCCATGGGCATGGACTTCAGTGAGAGAGCAAGCTGTTGAATGCGCGCTCCACTTCCTTCCTATGATAGTAACGTGTGGATCTGTAATGTGTTTCCTGACCTGAGGATGGGCCGGATGGAGTGCTAGCACTTCAAGGACGGGTCTTTGGGTCCACAGTTGTCTCTCAGGAGCCAGCAGTATTATATATTGAAACTTTTTTTTGGACAAAGCAGGGGCAATCATACAAAACCACACAATGCCTTTTGTTAGTCTGAATGGTTTGCCTGGATGCTTATGTGTGCAGTATATTGTTACACTCAAGTGTTTTCATTGGTTACTGACATTATCCGTTCTACATCCATGGTGAGATTTGGTAACTCCCTGGACATAGCTTTGTTAGGCTATCAACACGATTTAGCATGTTTATGTTCCTCTGAAACTGAGGGCGCTGCTGGGCTGAAACCAGGAGAACATTTTAATTACAACCATTCAATCACAACATTGTGTTTTAAGGTCAGAGAGGTGGATGGCCGTAAGGGATCTGGGAGGAAACTGATGCCCACAATAACACCCAACAATCCCTCGACTCCCTGTTATTCCACAAAAGCCTGATCTCCGGGTCTCCGTGGCTTGGAAATCATTAAGAATAACAACATAATCATATTGGGAAAGAAATGTTTTTACTTATTGACAGCTGCTGTTTGATTGATGGACTGGTGTTCAACAGTTCTTAAAACACAGTTAGGAATGAGTCTCGAGTCAGCTAGCATTATTATCGTTGTAATGGATTTCCAAGAGGAGATAACAGCAGACTATTGATTTTACAGCACATGGTGTTTGAAAGCAGAGTTGACTGATTATATTGGCTTGAATGTGCATGCTGGTTCCTCTGTGGCTTCGATTGGACCTTGAAGCTGTTGCTACATCCGACAAGTTATGAATTAATCACACAGCTGCATCCGAAACTCTAACTGTGTGTGAGGGCTAGATCAGTCAAGTTCACTCCTCTTGTGTCACCTTGACTTTTTATTTCCATCTTAAGTGTACTTGGTACATAGGTTTCCAATTTTCAAAAACCCTCTTTGTAAAATAAAACAGTGCTGAAAGCAGCTCACTTTTGCTTTGCTCTACATTATCTTCATTTATGCTCCAAGGACTGCTGGGGAGGATGGAATGTGTGGGTTAACAGGACTTGGACAAGGCCTGAAGAACTCATTGGAGTCATCATTAAATAATAATTACATACTCTTATAGTGAGCAGGTCCAAAGGCACCTCTGCTCAGCTGTGGTTCACTAAGGTCTGAAAGAAATAAAAGATAACTTTTTCTACATCAAATTAACGGAAGACATTTGACACCAACAGATAATATTGTATTGACATTATGGGGTCAGAAGCTTTAAGAGAAGTATTATCGTGTGGATTAAAGACCGGCGACCAGAGGAGAAAGAATCCTGGCAGTCTTTAATATTCCTGCAGAGGCTGGTGTTTTGTTAACTTCCTCAGTGACACTGCTGTACTCCTGTGGTGGCTTTATGGGAATTTCTGATGGCATTAGGATTATCTGCTGAGCTTTTGAATGGCTGTCAGGAGGTATTTAAGTGGTTTGAAAGGTCCATGAAATGAAAATGAATGTATTGCACACGGTCTGCACATAAGCAACACATTACAGCTCCTGTACAGAGTCATGCATTCTGTCAACTTGGAAGTTATCATGCATCCTGTAATGATCTATTCACTGTTAGTATTCAGATACTTTACTTGAGTAAATACTAGTAGGAATACGAGACACTACAAGTAAAAGCCCTGCATTTTAAACCTTATCTAGATAATGTTTGCTCAGCAAATATCCTAAATAATCAAACATAATATGCAGAAACAATTCCCATATCAGATATTTACTTATGATGTCTTTGAATTATGATTACTGCTGCCTTGATGTCTATGTTTTACACTGTAGTTGTTTAAGGTTGTGCTAACTCCTTTATATATTGTTGGGTAGGTTCATATTCTGTGAGGTTATCATTATGTTTGCAGTGCCACCGTCCTGTTAAAACCAAATATCTCTAAAAAAGTAAACTTTTCTTAAGCTCAGAGAAAAAAAAAGCCCTGTTTACAGCTTTCTGACGATGCATTTTCAAGCTAATCCAAGGGGGCTTCAAAATGTATTTTTTTTTTTACTTAAGAAGGAGATTTATTTTAAAAGGAACACTTCATCCTTCCTGTCAGGAAAGCTCAGAAAATGTGTAGATCCATGGTTGTAACTGGACGGGGAGGGGATGAAAAAAATGTAATCTAAAAGCTATTTTAAGAGGTCAGCTACATGTAATGAATTGGAGAGTATACATATGTTTATCTTTGGTGTAGTTTAGTATAACGTTGCATACAATGGAAGTTCCACATTCCACCACTGCCTAAAGGTCTTTAACACAGTGCATGAAATGAATGGGATCCAGCAGGAAGGGAAATTTGTCATGGATGTTCGGGACCCCCCCCCACACACACACACACCTCCTATTCCCCTTGTTTTATGAACTGGATTGGTGGGTGTGCATGCGCTCCAGTCACGAGCAAGGGAAAGGGAAATCGTTGTAAATCCCATTCAGTGCCTTGTGCATCCCAAAACGGGGTTAGAGTTTGTTCTATTTCCTCAGCGTTTGGGCTGAGCTCTGTGTGTACAGTACAGACAGGCATCGGTTGGCCGAGGTTCACCTGAGTTTTCCCTCCATCCATGGACATTCATTCACACCCCATCTCCACTGTGTCCACCAGCAGGCAAACTAACGACTTTTTAATAAACACCGCGCAAGCTTCTGCGCTCCTGGACCGGAGATCTGGAGATGAAGACAGATGTTACGCTTTTCTGTCGGACTTTGATTGGAATAGCATATGCCTCAGGTGAGGAAACTTTTACATTAAAAGTTTTGCGCGCATAACTTTTATGAGCTGACTGTTGACACTGACTTTCGATAAATGTTCTTTCTGAGCTTAATTAAGTTGTATTTCTAGCCTAAGCGTTTTAGAAGCTGCGGTGTCAATCTGAGGCATGTTGATCCTGAACTTTTCTGTTTTCCTCCTCTTTTATACATTTAAAACGCAGTGGGACATTTCAACATGTTATAACTCATGCATTATATTCAATCAGAAACAGGGAATGCATTCGCGTTTGCCTGCTTTTAATCCCCTCAGTCCCAGTGCACACACATTGCATTATCATTTATCACTCCTACATGATTGAAAGTTTGCCTCTCCATAAGGGACTGAATTAATAAGGAGCCCAGTGGGAGTCTCCAAGTCTACATCCAGATAGGCACTAGAGGGAGGCATGCTGTTGTTGTGTTGGATACAGATGCAGCTGTTAATTGTTGATGCTAACCTCACAATGACAAACAAATAATAGCCTAGATCATATCTGTTATGATGACTTTGAATGGCTTGACTTATGAGTAAGGGCTTTTTTTATACAGTAGTAGGTAAGAGGCAAAGTGGGAGGAGAGCTGGCCCGACTGACATGTGAAGGTCCCTTCAAATCTCCCAGAGTGGTGTCTTTATGTAATCTAAAATTGTTAAGACAGTATTATGTGAGAGAAAGTCACTTGTATCAGTACAAACCAACTCGTTTGGAGAAATGTGGGGTTATTCTCAGCGTGATCTGCCTCCAAATGTGCTTTGTAGTCACTTGTGTTGCTAGAACATTCACAGCTGAAACTAAAGCACATTGTTTTTATTGTAATATTTCAGAAACAGGGCCCTCTGATAAATGTTGTTATCTGGGAGTATGGCTGACACTGTTTTTCCCAGTGACTGAATGTGTATGTTTGAGTTGTTCATCACTGATAGCTGGGGAACAGCTGTTCATAAAGAACAGGGAATATTTTGTGAGAGGCGCCATATGGTACATTTTAACTCCGGGGTGGAGGGATGTTCTCTTTCTCCTCAAGCTTCCTTTGGTGGGTCACGTACATTTGAAGGAACAGATAAACTCTGTGAATGAGGAATAATTGCTGCCCTCAGGAAAAGTAATGTTATATTTATTAATGAGCACCAAATATATTCTGAAGTTTCTCATCATTTATCACCTAATGACCTTTTATGGCTGTATTTAAACTTTTGCAGTACACAGAGATGATGTGCCTATTAGCGGGTGTGCAGTGTTATCTGTTGAGAGACTTATTGGCAGCCCGGGTAGCTCAACCATGAAGGGCCCCACTCTTTCTCAGTCAATGTTGAACACACTTAGGAGAAGCACAATATCCCAGAAGTATCCTGGAGACAGAAACAACGTCCAGCTTCATAACAGTTTCATTAATTAAGATCTCACAGTATGTACCTGTGAGATTGCATTCCCCATTAAGACAGAGGTGTGACAGAAAGAGGCCATGTCCTGATTAAATATTGCAGCATTTTGCCCAGCAACACAGCCTTATTTGAGGGTTGAATGTAGTGCTGAAACAATGGCTATTTCAATTTAATTAAAAATGTTTCTTTTCAGTCAGTTTAATTTGCAGAGCATGAACACACTCCAAGATTCAGAAGATGGACCTTGAATGCAGCAATGTACCTTGTGTCTCTTCTGCTTTTTAGAATGGTTTATTAAATATACAAGGCCCTCTTTTAAAATCTTGTTTCTCGTCATAAAAAATGATCTCCTGTGGAATTCAAATCACATCTCACGTCTTTACTCTGAAGGATTTTCTTAACCCTTTTAACCCCCAAATTGTGCTCAACGGAAAACTAATGTGTGACATTAAAATTAGACTACTGAGTCAGAATTTCATGCAAGCATCATTATGATCAGAGGGGGCAACCCAGTCTCATGGCATTTTGTGTTCACCAACACGATTTTTAATCTATTGATTCGTGTTCACCAACATGATTTCCCCCTTTTTTTTCGTGTTGCACAGCACGATTTTTAAAAGCAATGTATTTCTACTGGTAATGTGTTTCGTGCCTGCAGCACGTCTTTTTCTCCGGTCGGGTCGTGGAAGACCGGAAGCTGTGTGGTTAATAAAAACTCTATCATCAGCCGACATGGAGTATCATTCCATTGCTACGCTGATGACACCCAACTGTACCTCAGGATCAACCCTACCTCCTCTGCAGCCCTGCCTTCACCCACACTCACTGCCTGCCTGGAGGAGATACAGGCGTGGATGAAGCAAAACTTCCTGAAACTCAACAGCTCCAAGACCGAAGCCATTATAGTTGGCACCCCACACCAGGTTCGGTCATCCACCATCACCACCATCACCTTCTCCGGCCAGGACATTACCCTCTCCTCAATAGTCACCAACCTGGGTGTTAAAATGGACGCCCATCTGACCTTTGAGGCCCACATTAAACAGCTGTGCAAGAACTCATTTTATCACCTCAGGAACATCGCCAAACTCCGCCCCACACTCACTCTGTCTGACGCCGAAAAGCTGGTCCATGCCTTTGTCTCCTCCAGGCTGGACTACTGCAATGCACTCCTCATCGGGATCCCTAACAAAAGCATCCAGAAGCTCCAATACATTCAGAACAGCGCTGCTAGGATCCTGATGAGGGTGCGCAAATATGATCACATCACCCCCATCTTTAAAGCACTACACTGGCTACCCGTGGAACTGAGGATCGAATTCAAGGTCTCCGTCCTCACCCACCAGTGTGTCCATGGAACTGCCCCTCCCTACCTCAAGGAACTCCTCACCCCCCATACCTCCTTGCGGACCACCCGCTCCAGCAACTCCAACTTCCTCAAACCCCCCAGGACTAAGCTCCGTACTATGGGAGACCGGGCCTTCTGCTCGGCTGCTCCCAGTCTGTGGAATGCTCTCCCCGACCAAATGAGAGCACCACAGACCGTGGAGGCTTTTTAAAAAGGCCTCAAAACCCATCTCTTCAAACGAGCCTTTGCCTAGTCCTTTTTATCACCCTTTTATTTATTTATTTATTTTTTATATATTTTTTGTATTGCTTTTTATTAATTCTACCGTGTTGTGTAATGTTTATTTATACTGTTCATGCTCACCACTTGTAGCACTTCGGGATTTGGAGTCAAATATGAGGTGCTTTATAAATGGAACCCATTATTATTATTACATGTTCTTACTCAATATCAAGCCACAATTATTGCTTTTATTTTAAATCGTAATAATTTTTGTTGCGGTCTGTGAGGAAAATAAATGGGGCTCAGAGCCTCAGGATACTGAAATCTGTATGACATTTGTTATTCTTTTCAAAATAACACACTGTTATTTACTCACCAATAACACACAATTATCCTTGCTTTTATTTATTGGTTTAATTCCATAATCTCGGGCTTTTTTGGCGTCCGTCAGGAACCGAATTTCAAAATAAAAATAACCGGAAACAGACGTAGGCATTTTGAGCGATTACCCAAGATCCTCAGCTATGGTTTAAGCTCGCTGATTGGATGTTTTAGCCGCAATGCATGCTGGGATTTGGTGTTTATATTATATGAAATCCGGAAAACATTTAAAAATAATAAAATAATACTTAATTCCGAGTGCTCTTGCTTTTCTCTTTGAAAGTCATCACATAACGGCATTGTAATACATGGTTCGGCTGCATTACATATTACAGATTTGCCGTAGTTCTTTATTTATAGAGCCCTGATGAGAAGACCTTTGGAAAAACTGAAGAAATGCCGCCGAAACTGAATACTTGACGTGGATCATAAACATATCAACAATTAAACAACATCTTCAATTTCTCTTCACACAATACGTCTCCTTGCAGTATCAACACTAATTCGGCTGACTTTTACATTTGATCTAATTCATAGATTGGTTATATTTACACCATAACGGTGCACAGCTGATATAAAAGGACTTGTAGTTTTTAAAGATATTACTGATTTTCTTTGAATGTAAGAATGTAAATACTGAGTCTGAAATAGTATAGCAATATGCTGTAAAATTATGTGAAAGCATGAATACAACTACACATCTTCAGATGTTGTACATACATAAGTGTCCTACACTAATAATACAAAGTTATTATGGCTGTGTGTACCTTGTGTGCACCGCCTAGTGGTTAAAGCACGTTATTGAATTATTGTTTTTATGTGTTATATTTGATTAAAAACATATTAAGAGTACATACTTTCATAAGGGGAAAGTAGAAGGTCTGTGATAGAAATATAGAATATAAAAAATCAAGAAGATACTATAAGTGATCTCAACAATAAAACAGTTTAGTGCAGGATGTACAAAGATATTAATAGGAGGAGATGCAAAACAGAACAACGAATTAACCTTTATTTAAACATTAAATAACAGATTAAGGTCTTCTTTTAAATAAGAAAAAAACTTTGGGGGTATCTATCTACAGATAAATATTAAGCCTGACAAAGTACTTAACGTCTAATATATTGCTTTCCTATGTTGAAGCACTTATTTTAACTGATATTATACATATGAGTTATACTCTTATGTATGTAGATAGTATAAGAAATGTGCAGAATATGACAGTTTAATGGTGGAGGTACACACATATTGATAGATGTCTTGTAATGCGCTGTTGAGGAACCTATGACCCAAGATTTTCATTCATTGCATACACCGTAGTTGTGTATATGATATGTCAATAAACCTTTGAAAATCTTGAAATCTTGAAAGGGATGTGCAAAATAGCCATAATTTACAGTCTTTAATTAACTATTAGTAGAGAATAACTAGTAATGAATATACTTTATTACTCGTTTCCATTCATGTCAATTGCAGATAAATGTTTAGTCTTCTCAAGCATCCATCCATCCATCCATCCATCCATCTTCTCCCGCTTATCCGTGGTCGGGTCGCGGGGGTAGCAGTTCCAGCAGAGAGCCCCAAACTTTATTTTCCCTGGCCACATCAACCAGCTCTGACTGGGGGATCCCAAGGCACTCCCAGGCC